TCCCGGCAGTGAGTGCGACCGCCGGCCGGGCCGGCCGCTGGCGGGTCGAGGGCCCGGACCACTCCAAAGGCCGGGATGGTATGGACTCAATGACTAAGTTTACTGCATCAGATGACTCGCCGAAGTTCGATGACTGATCAGTCTGCTAGCGTCTTCCGCGTCTCTCATGCTTGCTGCTTCTTTAGCGCAAGCGCGATCGCCTGCTCCGACAGCTCCCACAGCCTCCTCGCCTTCTGTGCGTCCTTGGCCTCGGCACTGACCTCCACCTCCTCGAAGGTATGCTTGCCCGGCTTCGAGTTCGACCAGAACACTCCTCGCTTGCCCTCCAGGGCATCCGACACTGCCATGGTCACCAGGCAGTCTCCCCCGAAGGAGACTGTCTCTGCTACCCTGACCACGTTGTTGGCGATGAAGTCGAAGGCCGAGAGGAAGAAGCCTCCCTGGTCGCGGAAGAGCCCCGTCCTTGTGATGAGGCCGGGGGAGAAGCAGTTGCAAGTCACTTTGCTCCCCTTGTCCTCCAGCCGTCGCTGTAGCTCGCGCGTGAACAGCACGTTGCACAACTTGGAGTCCTTGTAAGCCTGCTCGCACAGTCACCTTCCTCCTTCCTCGTCCTTCTCCTCCTGGTCCTCTTCCTCCTCTTCCTCCTCGACCTCCTCTTCCTCCTCGACCACTCCTCCACATCTTTTTATCTTCCCTGTCTTCACTATCATTCTGCTCCTAATTCTTCATGCTCTGCTCTTCTTCCTTACCTTGTCAGCGTCCCACCCTCCTCCGTCCACCATCTCCCAATCGATGCCGGCGGCCAGTCCTTGCATGTCCCCGAGAGTCGCTTTCGACCCCACGTTTCCTGGAGGCACGCGCGAAGTATGTGAGTACAATGGCGGGAGAGAAGAAACAGACATGGAGGAGGAGGAGGAGCAGGAGCACGAGGAGCAGGAGCAGGAGCAGGAGCAGGAGCAGGAGCAGGAGGAGACGCAGTAGCAGGAGCAGGAGCAGGAGCAGGAGCAGGAGGAGAAGCAGGAGCAGGAGCAGGAGCAGGATCTCATGACAGAGGAGAAAGAAGAGGTTCATAACAGAGAGGAGGGAGGAGGAAGAGGAGGATGGAAGCGGGAGGGAAGGACTGGCTAGTCACCTCCTGGGGAGCTCGGGTCGTGAACTTGGGACGCCGTCACGACGATTCTTGGCGCAGCAGACGACTTCTCGACAGCAGGAAGCAGGAGGTTCGTGAGGTAGAAGTGACCCAGGTGGTTGGTGCCGACGGTAACCTCGAAACCATCCTTGGTGCGGGGGGGGGGAGGCCGGGCTCCCGTGTTCAGAGCCACTCCGGCGTTGAGGACGAGGACGTCAATGGGTTTGCCTGACTTGTTCCACTCGTCTGCGAACTTCTTGATGCTCGAGAGGGACGACAGGTCACATTCCATCGCCGTCAGCTCTCCAGGGCTCCTGCCCGCCTTGCTGGCCAGCAACTTCACCTCCTCCTCCACAGAGTCTCTTGCTTCCATGGCCTTCTCCATCGTCCTGCATGCGAGGAACACGTTGTATCCCCCGGCGGCAAGCTTGCATGCTGCGTCCTTGCCGATGCCGGAGCTGCTCCCTGTGATGACGATGTTCCTTGGCCCTCCAGGGGGAGCAAGAGGCAACTTAACATCGTCCTGAGCAGCTGCAGAGGTCAAGGTGGGGAGCAAGACGATGGAAGACAGCACGACCGCTGCCTCTCGCCTGTTCACCCGCGTCTCCTCCACCGTCCTCCTCCCGTCGTCACGAGCAGAGCACCGCCAGGCCCTCGCGCGAGATGGGATTGAGCGATAGCCTGCCGAGGAAGAGGAGGAGGGGAAGGGAGAGGAGGACGAGATCCTCGTTGAAGTAAGAGGGAGGAGGGAGGGCTGGAAGGCATGCGCGCATGACGTCGCTGCCACCGCCAGGAGGATTGTCGCTGTCGCCATGGCAGGATTGCCCAGAGGATCGCCGGTCAGCAGGTCCTGAAAAAAACGACCAGGAGATTTTTGTG